CCATGCTAAGCACCCGAGTTTGAGATCATAGGAATAAGCTATGCAAGAACAGTCCCTCAAGCAAGCTGAGCGGCATGCTAACGCACTGCTAACATTGAATGCCCTGGATCACTTGGAAAAACTACAAATTTCATCCAATAAAACCCATAATTCTGGATATGATCACCACTATCGTTGCACTGCAGCAAGTTGGTTTTCCTCACGCAACCCTGATCAGATGTATGACGCTCACTCGAACTATTGCCAGATAAACGTTTGAAACCTTTCAAACAGCTGCATGGCTTCTGGACAGCCATGATGTTGCAAACACTGAAAGCTCCACATCGGCGATATGAACACTTGGAAGACTTTAAAGTATGCCAACTTGTTAAGAAAATGGGGTCCAGTCCCATGTAAGTGGTTTTGGACCAAGTAAAGGCCATGGGCCTTGATCTTTTATTTTACACAGAGCCCTAGCTACTTAATAAAAAAGAGGTGGGGTTGTTTAAGGTGTGTGTCGACAACCAAGCAGAAAAAGAAGAAAAGCCAGGAAAAGCAGAGAGAGAAAAAGGAGAAGGGAGAGTTGGTTGAACGGAAGTCAATCTGTGGTCCGATTGAGTTGGAACCTTGTCAGGAGGTTTATGATTCAGAGTTCTACATTCTGAACGGTCAAGATCGGGTTTGAAGCTCTCTAGAAACAAATCCAGGGTGTATTTGTTGAGTCACTTATTTGGTGAGATTTCTCCAATTGTTTCTCTAGTTGTTGATTAGCTCTAGTTTTAGCTAGAGAAGAACTTTGTATAACTATTATTTGATAGTGAAGATTTTTCTGGTGGCCCGTGGTTTTTTTTCCCTCTACACTGGAGGGTTTTCCACGTAAATCTTGGTGTGCTTTATTTTTCCTGCGTATTTGATTATTGATTGTTGTCTATTGCTTCTGTATTGTTGTGATTATTGCTTCAGGCGCAACAAGTGGTATCAGAGCGAGGGTTATTTTGAGACATCGATACAGAAGCATCCCAGGATAGAAGTAAATTCTGTTTGAGATCATGGAGGGTGATACAAGTTCCATGATAAAATTGACAGCATCAAATTATTCAATTTGGAAGCCTATGATGGAGGATCATCTATACTGCAAAGATTTGTATGAGCCAGTATTAGGTGATTCGGCTAAACCAGCAGATATGAAAGATGAAAGCTGGAAGAAGCTAGGTAGAAAGACGCTGGCTACAATCAGAAAATGGGTTGATATCAGCGTGTTCCATCATGTAGCGCAGGAATCGGATGCTCACATTGTTTGGGAAAATTTGGCAGCATTGTATGAGAGAAAAACAGGTATGAATAAAGTTATGCTTGTTAAAAAGATTGCAACTTGTAAGTCTAAACATAAATCTAAGTTTAGAGGTAAAGTGAAGTGTTTCCATTGTGGTAAGGCTGGTCATATAAAACGAAATTGTAGAATCTTGAAGCAAGAGCGAAAAGATGAGAAAGGCAAGAGTTCAGATGATGGCAATGTTGCAGCAGTGAATTCAGATAGTGATTCAGTTACTTTGATTTGTACACATGGTGATTGTAATCATGTTAGTGATCCCGGCATTGAGTGGATAGTTGACACAGGAGCGGCATATCATTGTGTTCCTAAGAGAGAGTTGTTTACAACTTACAAAGCAGGAGACTTTGGTTGTACCAAGATGGGAAACAAGAGTGTGTCGCAGATTGTTGGGATTGGTGATATTGGTGTACAAACTAGTACAGGCTGCATGTTAACTTTGAGGGATGTCAGACACATTCCAGATATGAGAATGAACTTGCTTGCTATTAATGTCCTTGATAAGGAGGGATATGAAAGCCGACAAAAGAATGGACAGTGGAAGCTTCTCAAAGGATCTATGGTAGTTGCAAGGGGAAAACTATGCTGCACAATGTATAAGACATGGATGCAATTGAACGGTAACCAGGTAAATACCGTTGAAAATGATGCTTCAGCAAACTTGTGGCACAGGAGGCTGGCACACATGAGTGAAAAAGGGTTACAGGTTTTGGCAAGGCACTCTCTCATTCCCTTGACCAAAGGTATGTCTCTCGATTCATGTGATTATTGTTTGTTTGGTAAGCATCATAGAGTTTCTTTTCGTAAAAGTTCTCAGAGAAAAGAAAATAGATTGGAATTAATTTATTCTGATGTATGTGGTCCCATTGAGGTTGAGTCATTAGGTGGTAACAGATATTTTGTTACTTTTATTGATGATGCTTCCGTAAAACTTGGGTGTATATGTTGAAATATAAAAGTCAGGTACTGCAGTATTTTCAAAAATTTCATGCCATGGTTGAAAGGATGACAGGGTTACCCTTGAAGTGTATTCGAACTGATAATGGTGGGGAATACACATCTAAAAGCTTTGAAGAGTATTGCTCAAAGCATGGGATCAGGCATGAGAGGACAGAACCTGGAACACCGTAGCATAATGGTATAGCTGAAAGAATGAATCGCACCATTGTGGAAAAAGTCAGATGTATGTTGAGGATGGCAAAATTACCAAAGCCATTCTGGGGTGAAGCAGTCAACACAGCTTGTTATTTACTTAACAGGTCACCATCAGTTCCTTTAGGCTTTGACATTCCAGAAAGAGTGTGGACAGGAAAAGATGCTTCATACTCTCACTTGAAAATTTTTGGGTGTAAAGCATTCATGCATGTGCCGAAAGAGCAGAGATCAAAGCTTGACAGTAAAGCTACACAGTGTATGTTTGTAGGATATGGTGATGAGGAATTTGGCTACAGGGTATGGGATCCAGTAAAGAGAAAGACAGTCAGAAGCAGAGATGTGGTCTTTCATGAAAAAGAAACCATAGCAGACCTTGAGAAAAATGAGAAGACTACACGAGTTACTGTTGAGTGTGATGTTTCAACACCGACAGGGATTTCACAGGAAAGAGCCACAGATGGTGAAAATGAGCCAGAAACAGAACTTGGGGATATGAATGAGCCAGCCATAGTTGGTGATGAGCCAGATGCTATTAGTTTTGAGCAGGGGGAGCAATCCTCTCTACCTGAGAGTGTTGAGCAGGGGGAGCTACCTTCAGCATCAAGTGATGTAGAGTCTCAGCTCAGGAGATCTACTAGAAAGCGCAGGCCATCTACCAGGTATCCAAGTTCAGATTTTATTTTAGTTACCAGTTAAGGGGAGCCAGAAAGCTTTCAAGATGTGCAGGCTACTCCGGATAGAGAGCACTGGTTAAAAGCAATGAAAGAAGAGATGGAGTCATTGCGAAAGAATGGTACTTATGATCTTGTTAAACTTCCAACAGGGAAGAGGCCATTAAAGAATAAATGGGTGTTCAAGTTGAAAAAGGATGGTGACAAACTAGTGAGGTACAAAGCTCGATTGGTAGTAAAAGGTTTTTCTCAGAAACCAGGCATCGATTTTGATGAGATTTTTGCTCCAGTTGTAAAAATGAGTTCTATTCGAGTGGTACTGGGATTGGCAGCTAGTTTGAATCTTGAGCTTGAGCAACTTGATGTTAAAACTGCATTTTTGCATGGTGATTTGCAGGAGGACATTTATATGAATCAGCCTGAGGGTTTTGAAGTGAAAGGGAAAGAGCACTTAGTTTGCAAATTGAAGAAAAGCTTGTATAGCTTGAAACAAGCTCCGCGACAGTGGTACAAGAAGTTTGATTCTTTTATGATGAGTCATAGCTATAAAAGAACAGCAGCAAATTCTTGTGTGTATATTAAACAATTCCCTAATGGTAACTTCATTATCCTATTATTATATGTTGATGATATGTTGATTGTAGGACAAGATGCTAGTATGGTTTGCAGGTTGAAAGAACAATTGTCTAAGTCTTTTGATATGAAAGATTTAGGTCCAGCAAAGCAGATTCTTGGTATGGACATTATCCGGGATAGGAGAGCTGGAAAGCTGTGGTTGTCACAGGAAAAGTATGTTGAACGAGTGCTTGGTAGATTCAACATGCAACATGCTAAATCAGTTAGCAGTTCACTTGCCAACCATTTTCACCTAAGTAAGAAATCTTGTCCAGTGTCTAAGGAAGAGCAACTAGCTATCTCTAGTATTCCTTATTCTTCTGCAGTCGGTTCTTTAATGTATCTTATGGTTTGTACAAGGCCTGACATTGCTCATGCAGTTGGTGTAGTGAGCAGATTTCTTTCTAATCCAGGGAAGGTTCACTGGGAAGCAGTGAAATGGATTTTTAGATATTTGAGGGGTACCTCAAAAATGTGCTTGACTTATGGAGTTTCACAACCAGTTCTAGAAGGGTTTACTGATGCTGACATGGCAGGCGATCTTGATGGTAGGAAATCTACTTCAGGGTATTTGTTTACTTTTGCAGGAGGAGCTGTATCCTGGCAGTCTAAGTTGCAGAAGTGTGTTGCTTTGTCAACTACAGAGGCTGAGTATATTGCAGCAACTGAAGCATGTAAAGAAATGCTTTGGATGAAACGTTTTCTTCTTGAATTAGGGTTGAATCAGAAAGAGTATGTGGTATTTTGTGATAGCCAGAGTGCTTTAGATTTGAGTAAGAATACCATGTACCATGCTAGAACAAAGCACATTGATGTTAGATATCATTGGTTACGTTCAGTGATTGAAGAACAGCAGATGCTATTGAAGAAAGTCCATACTGATAAAAATGTGGCAGATATGTTGACTAAGATACTTCCCAGGGAAAAGCTTGAGCTTTGTAGTAACTTGGCCGGAATGAGTTCCCTGGCCAAGGTAAGTTCCAAATGAAACTGCTATGGTGATGAATCTCCTCCTAATGGGGCTGGAGGGGGAGATTGTTAGGAAAATGGGGTCCAGTCCCATGTAAGTGGTTTTGGACCAAGTAAAGGCCATGGGCCTTGATCTTTTATTTTACACAGAGCCCTAGCTACTTAATAAAAAAGAGGTGGGGTTGTTTAAGGTGTGTGTCGACAACCAAGCAGAAAAAGAAGAAAAGCCAGGAAAAGCAGAGAGAGAAAAAGGAGAAAGGGAGAGGTTGGTTGAACGGAAGTCAATCTGTGGTGCCGATTGAGTTGGAACCTGTCAGGAGGGTTTATGATTCAGAGTTCTACATATCTGAACGGTCAAGGATCGGGTTTGCAGCTCTCTAGAAACAAATCCAGGGTGTATTTGTTGAGTCACTTATTTGGTGAGATTTCTCCAATTGTTTCTCTAGTTGTTGATTAGCCCTAGTTTTAGCTAGAGAAGAACTTTGTATAGACTATTATTTGATAGTGAAGATTTTTCTGGTGGCCCGTGGTTTTTTTCCCCTCTACACTGGAGGGTTTTCCACGTAAATCTTGGTGTGCTTTATTTTTCCTGCGTATTTGATTATTGATTGTTGTCTATTGCTTCTGTATTGTTGTGATTATTGCTTCAGGCGCAACACAACTTTGGTCATCTTCAGACCAGGACTGTATCTTAAGTTGTCCAAACGCATCCAATACCATTTGCATAATCCTAGAAGTATCAGGAGCACCCCAAGTAACGTAAAAACGGCCATTCTTATAAATGCCGTAATTTTCAAACTCAAGAAAAGAACCATTCCAGTATGTTTTGGAACCCTGCCAAACGGTCAAATTAACATCAAAATCCACATATACCGTGGAAGACATATATCCCAGGGAGAGGGAGAAAGAACCAGGGGCAGGATCTTCCAGACTTCTCCAGGACACCAACGACCAAGTATTTTCGTATACCTCGTCATATCCGAGATTCATTCCAGGCAAAAGAGTGTCGGTAGGATAATCAAAACTCTGCCACAAAACTTCTAAGCTACTTCGGAGTTGCAAGACGAGATTACCTGAATCTAGTAGCGTGGCAAACGTGTTGCTGTTGTTGCTAATTGTAATGTTCGTTACCTTATAGGACATTTTACCATCTGAAATCTCAAGCTTTCCTTCAGAGTTGATGGTAAGATTAGAAGAGCTACTCAGGAAGGGATATTCTCTATTTGCCACCCAAACTATTGCTGGCTTGGACACTTTTTGCCATATTCCAAGATAGTAATTGGAGGTCTTTCCCGGAGAAAAAAACCCAAGTTCGAATTTCCCATTCGATGATATAATGGTCTTTGGATTGGTGATTGTTTGGCCTTGAAAAATTGTATCAGTGCCATTTGTGGACTGTAAGGAATGAAATAAGATAACCAGCAAGCGAACAAGAGGAGCAAACCAACCTCTCATCATTTACAGATGATTTCCAGTGATCAGATTGAGAATCGTATAAATGGAATTCTGGGATTAAAGTATCGATTCAAGTCATCTCTAAGTATTTGCAAGTCAATTTAGGGAACTTTGTTCTTTAGCTTTTGGTCAAGCCATCGTCGTAGAGAAGATAAAGGCAATACATCTAATTATGTAATACCCGTATAAAAAACAAAAAAAAAAGACAATTTCATATACCTTTTTAAGCGGAGGGACTTTTTTTAATAAAGAATGAAAAATGCATAATATTTAATGATAAATAATTCAATTTTTAATAGGATTATCATATTCTAGCCGTATGGCCAACTCTAAACAAAAGAAAAACCTTATTTCTCCTCTCTTCTTATATAAAGCAAACAAGTTAGAGGATTTTAGGTAAAAGTTAAGATCAAAATCTACAAGAAGAATTGTCTTTCAAAAGTGACTAAATAACCTCCTTCAATTTTAAAGAAATAGTTTTTAATTATTAAGTCTTGGAGTTTAACTTATAATTAAGAAACATAAAAATATTAAAAATCTATTATCACTCTTCAAGATTGATTTTAGTAAATCAATTAGACTTTAATTAGTTCATAATGAAATGTTAAGACGATTTTATAATGTGATTGTATGGTTGTAAAAATAGAAAACAGAAATTGGACCGGGTTAAAATGAAAAAAAAATATGTTTCATATAAACTTTGATGTTTATGGTGGTGGACTAAAACAAAATTTAATATTAAGAGATAAAATATTATTATAATTATTATATACTATTGGAAAACTTATTGAATCTACTTTCTAACGAAATAAACGGAAGTCGATTCTGAATTTTCTATTAAGAGTCGTTTAATTTTTACTTAAAGATGTATAAGTTGTCTGATAACAGCAATAAAGAAAAATTACAAAAATTCTCTTAATTTTTATACAATGAATTATGAATAGGGAATTCTTAATGCACATCATTTAATGTTATATACACCCCACTTTTATATACACTCCAAATGCAAAACTCATTTTCCTATTTCTATTAAATATACCTTACCCCTCACTTTGACATTTTCCATTCATACCCTTTCTCTCTTCTTCTCTCTTCACTTCCTTACATTGAGCTTCTCAAAAATAAATATCCAAAAAGTTTTTAAGCTTCTTGAAAATGAATATTTGAGAAGCTTTAAGGATTTTCGGATATCCAAAGCTTCTTGAATATCCATTCCAAGAAGCTTTAAAGCCTCTCAGATATTCATTTTTTAGAAGTTTCAAAGTTTCTCGGATATCCATTTCTAAGAAGTCCTTAGTTTTTCCAAAAATAGATATCCAATAAAAGTTTAGACTTCTTCAATATCTATATCCGAGAAGTTGAAGTTCTTGGTTTTCTAGGCAAGACAAATCCACCAATAGGGACCTCCAATCTTTTGATCACCAAGCAATGTCCATTCATTAACGTTTGCAACATTTTTGCAATTTTGATAGATGTGCATTTGAGAGGAATTGCTAATTGTCAAGAAGCACATGTGCAAATTAGCTATTGCATTATGTGCAATGAAACATAACTGCCTCACCGTGCATGGTGCAGCAGTCACTTGCAAGAGTGCTATTCACAATTAGTGATTTCTTCTCAAATGCATATTTGTTAGAATTGGATAAATGTTATGAACATTGTTTATCAAACATTGCTGGGTCAAAACATTTATACATCCTATATGTTGGAGTTGATGGTATTTTTTAGTGGCCCCAATATTAAAGATTTTGATTTTTTTGTTATCAAAAGTTTAATTAAATATAATTTTAAAAAATTTTATGTATTCTCGAAATCAAATTTCTAAGATTATTGTTTTCTCTAAAATCCATTTCTAAGAAAGCAATAGAAATCTCAAAAATGGATTTTTAAGAGATGTGTTTTGTTCTCAATAATTAATTTTTAAGAATTATGATGCTTTCTAGGAAATGAATTTTCAAGAACACAATATAACATTCAGAAATCGATTTACAAGATATACAAGATGGTTTTGGGAGTATAAGCTATTAAAGGTATTTTTATCATTTACTAAAAGTTAAAATTGGCATTTGGTATATGGGTATTTTGGAAAGAAAATTTTAGGGGTGTATAAAGATATTTTGATGGTGTATTTAGAACACCCCATTATGAATTGAGCACCATACATATTTGAAAAGGTTATTAAGTCTACTTTCCAACGAAATAAGTAGAACTAAATTTTGAGTCTCCAATGAATAAATATCTAATTTTTACTAAAAGATATATATGTTATTTGGTAGTAGAATATGACATGGATTGCAAGTACTATTACAATTAATCTATAAGGAATTATGAGGTGAACCATATATGATTAGAAAACTTATCAAGTCTAGTTTTTAACGCACTAAAAAGATCTTAAGTCTGAGTTATATATCTTAAGATATGGTCATTTTAGTGAAAGGAGCATAGGCTGCCATCATTAGTTAATTGAGTTAACTCTTGTATGATTTAGTTATTTTAGCTTAAATAGCCTAAAAAATGGTTGATTAATTTCTGATATGTTGAAATGACCTTGAATAGGCCATTAATTATTTTAAGGGAAAAAACTAAGTGATGGACCAAAAGGATGTAAGTAGAATATCACACACTTTACTTATTTTTGAACTTTTGTATATGTATATTCTAAATGAGTAAAAGTTTATTTCTTTTATTTCAATATATGAAAATAATATTGAGCATTTGATTATTTTGTATTTTGCTATATAGATGATGAATCATACTTATGAATGAAATGATAAATTGATTTATACTTAAAGAACGATTTTTTGATAACTACGAATTTACATTCTTGGGAAGTTGGATCATTGACACTAGAACTAGTTCTATGGTCATGACTAACAGGTTATAGTAATTAGCATAAGGCCCTAGTTAATGGGTTATAATATTAAAATGATCATGAGAATGAAATTATCGATATGGTCACTGTCACAGATTATAACAATGATTGTAGCTAATGATGAATTAATGATAATGATGATTTATAATAACGAATTTATGATTTTAAAGATTGATCCATAATTTGTATGGAGTATGTACTTGACCATGATTAATGATTTGTAATTAATGAAATGTTTTGATATAATATCAATTCTTTAAATGTTTATTTAAATGTTTGAAAGCATAATTTGAACGAGATGTTTATGAATGAATTATATATATGTATAAAACTTGATTTGGAAAAGTGTGTGAGTCTATATTTGCTGAGCTATAGTTTGCTCATATCTCTTTCACTTTCTTTTACATATGATTAAAATGATAAGTTTGTTTAGTCTTGTGAAAAGTTGGAAAATCAAATTGAAAAGACTAGTTAGGCATTAAAGACACTATTGGCCATTGAGATCTTATGAAGTAATTTTGTATTTTTATTAGTTTATATTTGTGAACATGGAGATTTATCATTAGTTAAATTAAAGTTATGGATTTTATTTGAACAAATTATTTTATTAAAAAATTTTAGAATTATTAAGAAATAAGGTTTTATATTGACCGTATTGCATCTTGATATCAAGGCATGACAAATTATGGTCACATATTGATAATCAAATTAAAGCAATTATGATCACTATAGACATCCATTTGTGTTTAGGGTCAATCGAACTATTTAATTATTTCTGTTATGTTATACTATATTATAGTATTATTGTCATATTCTTATTATTAGTATATTATATGGTATTATACAATATTATTTTTTTTCCTTCTCCTTCCTTCTTAACTAGTGATTCAGGAAACTAAAATCTGAAAATCAATTTAGTCACAGGTAACTTCAATTAGGATTAAATCAGAGGCCTAAGATTATGCTCGGACAGAATCAAATTCCAGGATTCAAGCCTAGATAGATTATATCTGTTTCCTAAAATCTGTCTTAAAAGTTTCTATAGCTTGGATATTCTCCAAAGAACATGAACATAGAATGGATTTAGGAGACATGATGAAATTTTGGAAAAATTTTGGTTGTTGTACTTTGAGGATAGATTTTTGGGCAGTAAAGTTCTATATTTCAATCTGAAAATTTTTAGGGAATACTGAGGATTCTAGATTTAGTTTTGGGTTTCTGGGAATTAGTTTTAGGTTTCTGAAGTTGGGATTAAAGTTCTAGAAAGGTTTGGAAGAAATCCCAAAAATTTTAAAAAGTTTGGGAGAATCTGGGTTTTTTTGGAAAATATGAATTTTTTTATAAATGTTTGAAGTTTCCAATGAATTTTTCGATAGAACTTTGAATTTTCTAGTCAGGTTTCAACCAATTTTCCAGAAACTGACAATAAACCCAATTTTTGGTTGAATTTTTAGGGATTACTTTAGAGAGAGGTAAAAAAAAATTAAGGTAGAGAAAGAGGAAGCGAGGTGTATCTGAGGTTCAAAATGCTAAACTTGGCTTATATATCGATCTAATACAATGCCATTTTGACAACTCAAGATCTGCGCTCGAACCCATTAACCCGCACATCAACCCGTTTCTTGACACAACTCGATTACAAGATTTCCTTTTTTATTTTATTTTTTAATTTTTTTTATTTTCATATTATAAGTTTTATTTTATTTTCATTTTTTGTTTTATTGGTTTTTATTTATTTTATTTAGTAATTTATTAATAAAAAAATCTTTTCTTTTTGGAAAACAAATAAATATATAATAATAATAAACAAAAAAATATATTTTTAAACAAGTTTTCAAAAAAATGTATTAAAAAACAAAAAAAAATCCTTTCAAAAATAAAAAGATCTTTTTTTCAAATAAAAATCCTTACAAAATAAATTCATAAATTTTATCAAACTATTGAAAATTTTTCATGGATTTAATTTTTAAAATGGAATCATCCAAATTATTAAGAAATTTCATAAATAAGTTTTCAAAAAAATAATAAATAAATAAATAATTTTTATCCTCTAAACTATTGGAGGATTATTTTTCAAATTAAGTCTTATCAAATTATTAGGAGACTTAATAAGATTCACAAAATTTTT